TACTACTAGGAGCAAGGACGACTAGGAGCAAAGGGCATCGCTACTAGCGTCCTTGGGACGCTACTAGGAGCAAAGAGCATCGCTACTAGGAGCAAGGGCCTTTCTACTAGGAACAAGAAGCTAGTAGAAACAATATATAAATAGAAACAATAAGCTACTAGGAACTACTAACGATGGCCTCCAATCTAGCAATGGGATCCCTAATAGTTTACAATAGCTAAACTTAACGCATCACGTAATAAACACAACACACACTCGATGAAATTCCAGACTTTGCCAACATCTTTTTCAACTAAAACCTTCTGCTTCGTCACCCGCTTGCACGCTTGTTGTAAAAAATGGCCACAGCCGAGATCAAATGTCCCCTTCATGCACGCACGCTTCTCTTGAGTTTTAGATCTATCTTACTTTCTTTCTGTCCTTACTTTCATTTTTGTCCGTGCAAATACAAACAAAATGTCTACCACGCGTTGAACAGAATGGGTTCACCCTCGCACCTCAACAGCCTTCAGCAACTGCTGCCGAAGGGAAAGCAAATGGTCCAACATCTCTCGCGCGTGGAAGATCAGCTCCTCACATGAACATCTCTTTTAAATCTCCATTTGCTTCTAAGTTGGAGGCCATCGCTATCCATTTCAGATTACAAACCTCTCTGAAATCAGCGCCCGGGGAATGGATGTGACTTTCTTTCTGCTGGCCAGTGCGCTAGTTGAGCCGCTCACTTCCATGGTCTTTCTACGGAAACAATCCTGCGTCAACATGTAGTAGACAACTTAACCTAGTAGCGAACTAGTCGCCTTACTTAAGTAGAGGGGAGGGCAGAGCGGGCTAAAGCCTTGCACGCAGTAGCTACGTTCTTGGATTCCGGACGCTGTCTGAGACATTGTTGTTGCAGGCTTCCACCAAGGACTTGTGAATGTTCTCGGCATCACAGGTTTCAATCGCCTCAAACGGCCCTCTTTCCTCTCCACGAATTGAGCTATTAAAGGGACGGCTACCTTCTCTATTCTAGTCTCTGAGCGCTCCTTCCCTTAACAAACAAGACGTGCCAGAAGATGCGTTCGAACATGCTCTACCATTACACACACTTCCTTATGACAAGTTCTAAATCAAAGGCCCTTCAGTAGGGCTCCTGTCAAGTACCCTGGCATCCTTGTGCATCCCTGAACTCATTAACTATGCTTGCTACTTCTCGAATGGCTTCGCAAGAGTCCAAACATAAACCACAAACGAAAACTGTTCCTTCTTAAAGCCTTTGATGCAGGACCTCACGACTCGTTGCTACACACATGCGAGGACGAAGTCGCAACACCTATGTGGCAAAATGCTCTTCTGTTTCTTCCTTAGCGTCCTTGCTCCTAGTAAGGCCAGGAGCCCCTAGTAGTGTCCTTGCTCCTAGTAGCGATGCCCTTTGCTCCTAGTAGCTGTTTCTTCCTTCTATGCGAACCTTCCTTGACCTTTCTTTTTCTTTCCAGTCTTTCTTCCCAGGTTGGAGGCCATCGCTAGTAGTAGCTATTACAAGTTCTAATGTTTAAGTTTCCCTAAACATCTAGAAACCAAATCATGAGTGCGTGAGCCATTCGCGTCCATACTAGTAGCTTACTTGTAGGTACTAGCTACCTCGGTTCCTTATTAGCTACCTCTAGCTACCTCTAGCGGCCTACGTCCTTGCTTGTAGTAGAAATGCCCTTGGCTCCTAGTAGCGTCCGATCGCTCCTACCCCCGCGCGCGCGAAAAGGTCCTAGTAGATTCCCTTGCTAGTAATTTAATGAGATTCAAATTTAATTCTAATTTGTTACTACTAGTAAGGCACCTGTTACTACTAGTAAGGCACCTGTTACTACTAGTAAGGCACCTGTTACTACTAGTAAGGCACCTGTTACTACTAGTAAGGCACCTGTTACTACTAATAAGGCACCTGTTACTACTAATAAGGCACCTGTTACTACTAGTAAGGCACCTGTTACTACTAATAAGGCACCTGTTACTACTAGTAAGGCACTTGTTTCTACTAGTAAGGCACCTGTTACTACTAGTAAGGCACCTGTTACTACTAATAAGGCACCTGTTTCTACTAATAAGGCACCTGTTACTACTAATAAGGCACCTGTTACTACTAATAAGGCACCTGTTACTACTAGTAAGGCACCTGTTACTACTAGTAAGG